CTGCTTAGCTGGTCATTAGTAAATAGCTGAGAAGAAGGAGATAGACGGCTGTCATCTGCTGCTCTGCCCCTTTCTCTCCACCTCAGTCGTCCTTTATGGAACAGCTGGGTATGTGGCAAGAAAGGGGGGGGGGGAGGAGGAGGATGTGTGTGCTTCTGTGTCTCTATTCTCACACATGCTTGCACGTATCGTTTTCATTCAATCATTTAATATTAATGCACTTCCTATGGCGTAGCCACTAATTCACAAACAAGCAAAACTAACCTTGTTTAAAACTCAGCTCTGCGTCCTGGGCAAAATCTAGTTGCGAGGCTGGGTTAATCAACTGGCAACTGTAGGCCTGCACCTCCTCTCCCCCCCCCCCCATGTTGAAGCCATTAGTGTCAGCCTTCCAAGATAAACCAGGCAAGAAACACAACCAGATGAGATAAATTCTGCAGGGAATTGGACTAGAAGACCTCCAAGGTCCCTTCCAACTCTGTTATTCTGTATTCTGTACCTTATTGTAAACCTACATTAATGGAATCTTGCAAATCTGAAAGTACAAATCTCCCACTGACTCTTTTCACAGTCTGATAAGTTAGGGAGGATTCTTTCTGAGTTTCTCTCTGAGTTCCTTCTGCGGCTGAGGACTCCCTCATTCATCTATTCATTCGCTAGGCATCATCTCTTTCTCCAACTCTCAAGGTCTTTCCCACATACTATTACCATCAGATCTTCCTGAAACCATGATGGCTGAAAACTGATAGCATCGTTTTTTTTTACTGTTTTGAATGAGAACCTCATGAAATCTATACTGTAGACTTGTGAGAGATTGTGGGATGGAAGTTTAGGGGAGAAGAGGCAATAAAGAAACAGGGCCCTTAACGCATTCAGCAGCCCAGGCACGGGAATATAGCCAGGTTTTTAGGACCTTACAAAAGGTTAATAGGATTGGGCCTTTCTGATCTCTGAACGTTTGGTTAACTTATTCCTAAATAGGTATTTTTCTATGTAAATTACATCAAACAGAAATCAACTTCCTCCTTTTATTTTAAAGCACCATGCACATGTCTACCCTCTTCTCTGCTTCATTCCATCCACTTCAGTCCCCTTGCCTTTCCACCATCATGTCTACATTTCCATTTGATCTCAGCACTTCTCTTCTGGCTAGTAGGCTCCTAGCTCTGGCATGGTGAGCTCCTTTTGTCTCTTCCTCCTACAGTCTTTGACTTCTGTATCGCTCAGTCTTGGGACCTCTTTGAAAGCTTGTGGCACCCACCTTGAAAAGTTTCTCAGTTCTCTCCCATGTCCCATAAAGAAGACCTACCGGTATAACCGTGTTTCTCAGCCTTGGCAGCTTTAGGATGTACGGACTTCAGCCCCCAGAATTGAACTCTGGGAGTTGAAGTCTGCACAACTTAAAGCTGCCAGGGTTGAGAAACATCAGTCTTTGAGCATGGATGGCCTTAGGACCAGAGGCTTCTCCTGTGAGTTCTGGAAGGAAAGCAAATGCAACCAGCTTGGGTGATCACACTTTGAGATCAATGAAATAATCTTCACTCCCAGATTTCCATTCGGTCCTTCTGCACTTATTTAATGCTGGTCCCATAGATTAGTATTCTGGGAGTGGATTCCCCAAGGCTGCCTCCAGACCCAGCTCATTCCGTTCCCCTTTTAGGTTACTGTTTCCTAACAATGATGGTCAGTAATATGACCTTTCTCTCTCTCCTTTCTGATCCCTTGGGTTGAATGAACTGACATACGTGAACAATTCTTTCCATCCCTCACCCCGGCCCTTATACCGCCTGCCAGGGATTTTGGGGGGCGTGAGCCAGGAGTAGAACAATTGGAGTATTGTCTCCATTTTTGCCATGTACAGATTCCTGCCTGTGGCTTCTCTCATTCCAAAATGGAAAGCCCAGAGGTAACTATAAGGGAAGAGAAATGGGGTGAGGGGAACAGTCTGTACCAGTTTTTGTTTGGAAGCCAGATGACCTGATTTTGGCTTGTGCAATTAAAATGAATATATGTATAATATATTCACACACACACACACACACACACACACACACACACATTACACACAGATGCACATACACAGCCAAACGCTTTTTATTCCCTAAATGCAAGCCTAATTAAAAGGTCAGTTGTATAGGTTGAACAGAGAAACACGACAGACTGAGGGCATGTATATAGGAGGACAGCCATTGCTGCATTTTCACCCAGTGGTAAATGCCCAACTGTTTTAATAAGGGGGGGGGGAAAGTCTTCAGCTGTGTTACTTTATCATTCACTGAACACAATTATATAGTACTGTATGTGAACATCTGGATAGCGGGTGTAGAAATACGTTATACAGGTAGTCCTCGATTTATGATTACAATTGAGCTCAACATTTCTCTTGCTGAGCAAAACAGTTGTTAAAGGAATTTCCCCTCATTTTACGTCCTTTCTTGCCACAGTTGTTAAGCAAATCACTACAGTTCTTAAGTTAGTAACACGGTTGTTAAGTGAATTTGGCTTCCCCATTGTCTGTGCTTGTCCGAAAGTCGCAAAGGGCGATCACTGCAATCGTCATAAATATGAGTCAGTTGTCAAGTGTCTGAATTTTAATCACGTCACCATGGGATGCTGCAATGATTGTAAGTGTGAAAAATGGTCATAAGTCACTTTTTTCAGTGCCATTGTAACTTTGAATGGTCACTAAATGAACTGTTGTAAGTTGAGGACAGCCTGTAGGCATATTCAGATCACTGGGCCATAAAGCAGCACACAAGGTGACACTGGTAGCAATTAGACACACAAATCACACTGAAGTTTTTTGTGTGTGTCTTTCCAACGCAAATGTCTACCACACTGAGGTAGAGCAGAGATTTAAGCAAAGACTGCATTTGGTTGTTGAGATGCAAATGGATAAGACAAGGAAATGGCCAGTTTCAGTAGGATAGTGATGATAGTAATGAAATTTATTTTAAATCTGATGTCAATAAATGTAACTGAATTAAATTAAATTAATATGATTACAATCTACTTAATGTGTTTCTTTTATCATGTGAAAAATAACAACTAAACATAACTTTTAGGGTTTTTTTAAGTGTGGACCACACTTAAATCACTACCACATCACCACCAGATGAATTTGTAACACTAGTCAACTGCACTCAATATGTAGCCCTCAATGGAACTGCATCTACATGGACAGAGGTATGCACTGACATACCCCAAGGCTCTGTCTTAGGCCCAGGACTCTTCAATATCTTCATCAATGATTTAGAGGAGGGGATAGAAGGAGAATTCATCAAATTTGCAAATGACCTGAAGCTGGCAGGAATAGCCAATATTCCAGAAGATAAACTGGTACAGAAGGTACAAAAGGATCTTGACAGACTTGAACAATGGGCCCTATTTAATAAAATGAAATTGAATGGTGAGAAACGTTTCTTGCCTACATTTGGGCAAGAAAAACCATATGCAGAGGTATAGAATAAGAGATACCTGGCTCAATAGTAATAACTGCAAAAGGGATCTTGGAGTCCTAGTGGACAATCACTTAAACATGAGCCAGCGGTGTGTTACAGCTACCAAAAAAGCTAATGCGGTCCTAGGCTGTTTTAACAAAAGGATAGAATCAATATCACATGAAGTGTTAATATTATTTTATAATGCCTTGGTAAGATCACACTTGGACTATTGGATCCAGTTTTGATCGCCATGATAGAAAAAAAGATGTTGAGGCTCTAGAAAGAGTGCACAGAAGAGCAACAAAGATGATTAGGGACTGGAGGCTAAAACATATGAAGAATAGTTGCAGGAAATAGGTATGTCTAGTTTAATGAATAGAAAACCAGGGGTGACATGAAAGCAATGTTCCAATATCTAAGGGGCTACCAGAAAGAAAACGGGGTCACCCTATTCTCCAAAGCACCAGAAGGCAAGACAAGAAACAATGGATGGAAACTAATCAAGGACAGAACCAACCTAGAACTAAGGAGAAATTTCCTAACAGTTATAACAATCAATGGAACAACTTGCCTCTAGAAGTTGTGGGTGTATCATCACTGGAGGTTTTTAAGAAGAGACTGGACAGACATTTGTCTAAAATGGTATAGGGTTTCCTGTTTGAGAAGGGGGGTTGGACTAGAAGACCTCCAAGATTCCGTCTGTTGTTCTGTTACTGCCTATTGTTTGTCCTAATATCTGGAATTTACAATCAAACTATCTCTGAATGTGGACACTCTGACAGATAATTTGGTAAGAAATTCATCAAAATATTCCTCCAGTGCTTTGATTGTTGTTGTTGTTAATTGCAAAGTCGTGTCCGACCCATCGCGACCCCTTGGACAACGTTCCTCCAGGTCTTCCTGTCCTCTACCATCTTCTGGAGTCCATTTAAGTTCACACCTACTGCTTCAGTGACTCCATCCAGCCATCTCCTTCTCTGTTGTCCCCTTCTTCTATTGCCTCAATCTTTCCCAGCATTAGGCCCTTCTCCAGTGAGTCCTTCCTTCTCATTAGGTGGCCAAAGTATTTGAGTTTCAACTTCAGGATCTGGCCTTCTAAAGAGCAGTCGGGGTTGATCTCTTCTAGGACTGACCGGTTTGAACGCCTTGCAGTCAAAGGGACTCGCAGGAGTCTTCTCCAGCACCATAGTTCAAAGGCCTCAATTCTTTTGCGCTCAGCCTTTCTTATGGTCCAACTTTCAAAGCCATACATTGCAACTGGGAAAACCATGGCCTGGACTATACGTACTTTTGTTGGCAGGGTGATGTCTCTGCTTTTTAGAATGCTGTCTAGATTTGCCATAGCTTTCCTCCCCAGGAGCAAGCGTCTTTTAATTTCTTGGCTGCAGTCCCATCTGAGGTGATCTTGGAGCCCAGAAAAATAAAATCTGTCACTACCTCCATTTCTTCCCCATCTATTTGGTGCTTTGATTGCAGCCTAGCTTTTGAAAGAACACGCAAATGGAATTTTCGGGAGAAATGTAACTGTGGTTCCCCTTACCCTTCCTTCTTCTGCAGCCGAGCGGAAGCCACATCTATTGAGAAGGAGCTGCTAGAAGAGTTTAAATTTGGACATCAGCAGTTAATTGAGATCTGGGGTCATGCATCTGCCATGGCAGTGACCAAGGTGAGTTCAAAGTATTCACAATAGCTAATGAAAACTTTCCAGATTACTGAATATAATGCAAGGAACCTCACTATGAAGGACCTGCTTCAAAGAATCTCAGGTGGATGCCTCACTATAAGGGTAGCTGGGCAGCTGGATCTAGGCCAGAGTTTCCCAACCTCAGCAATTTTAAGAAGTGTGGACTTCAACTCCCAGAATTCCCCAGGCAGTCAGGGGTCAACTTCCTTTCTGGAAACTGAAGTCCACATATTTTAAGGAGGAGGTAAGGGTGGAAAGTACAGATCTAGGAAACAGCAACAGTGATTTCAAGTCAGGGTTGTTGAGGAAATAGCTTTAGGTTTAAGGAGAAAAGTGACGGCATGTAGATAGAACAGAATATTTAGATTGTTTTGTGGGGATCAGTTTTTATTTCTTTACAGATAGACCTTGACTTACAACCACAACTGGGATCAGAATTTCCATTGTTAAGTAAGGCAGTTGTTAAGTGAGTTGCATGTGATTTTACAATCTTTTTGGTTGCAAGTGTGAGAATTGGATCTAAGTCATTTGTTTCATGATTTATTGAAAAGTGTAACTTTGGTCGCTAAACAAATGGCTGTAAGCTGAGAACTATCTGTATATCCTCCTAGTTCTGAACCTATGTACCATTGCAGAGTTTTTGTTCCTATCCCCTTGGATAAAAAGTTCTAAAAATAATATAAGGACTGGAGGAAACACAAACTGCTGCCACATTTCAATGCAATTGCATTTTTCCTTAATTTTATTGTTGAAAGAAAAGTCTTCATCATGGTTCAGTCCAAACCAGGAATAAACAGCATGGCGACTGCTTTAGAAAGAAGATTGCAGTTTATTGAAGAGGAGAGCCAGACAGGAAGATGGCTCTGGAAAAAAAGAGAGCAAGCACATGTAGGGAGTGGGTTTTTATACCCTCTGGAGCCTTTTGTTTTGAGTTGTTTCCTGTTCCTGTTTGAGGCTTTGTATTTCCTGTGTCATATATTCTGACCTGAGTCTGGATGTGCCCTTTGGCATCTGTGAATTAATCCTATTATGTCCAGTCTTAGACTTTGGGTGGGGTATGTAGATTTTAGGTGTCTTTGTCTTCTTAATCTTCTAGCTGGGGGCTTCCAACCTTCCTGGATTATTTACATCTGCATTTGTACAGAGCTGGTTTTTGCTTGGGGGAGGGAGACTTGGGGCTATTAAGAAAAATTGGGCATGCTTTTCTGCCTCTTTAAGATCCTTGGAGGAAATATATTTTTCTGCCCTTTTAATATTTCCTTCTCTGGGGGGCTGACTTCCCACATCATCAAGCAAAGAACACATGAAAAACAATTGATTTCCAATGACTAATTGAGATTCTAAAACAAGGTGTGCCAAGCAAAGCTTCTGGAATTCTTTCTGAACTTTTTAGCAACCAGGGCCATAAAGAGGCCCCTCCAGTTTTCTTCTGCATAACAAGATTATGTCAGCAGGTGCCCTCACTTTTCCTTCTAGGACCTAATCAAGGTTCATGCATACATATTGCCTGTCTGCAAGCATCTAATCAAGGCATGTGTAGCATCTGTGTAGGTGTGCTTGCTAATGCGGGTGCACTGGGAAGCAGGGTTTCGGTTGCACCTACTATTTTTGCTGACATGACTAGAAGTGAGAGGACTTGAAATGAAGCCATTGCCAAAATCCCAAATCACCATCCACCTGCCTGTTTCACAGAGGTGCATTGCTAGGCTCTAGACTAGTTCTTGATCCAATTTAGGAATTTTAAGACATATGGACTTCAACTCCCAGAATTCCCTAGCAAGAGTTGAAGTCCACATGTCTTAAAGTTGACAAGTTGAAGAAACATTGCCCTAGATCAGAGGTAGGCAACCTTGGCTCTTTTATGGCTGGCTCAGGAATTCTGGGAGTTGAAGTCCACGAGTCATAAAAGAGCCAAGGTTGCCTACCCCTGCCCTAGACCGATCAACTCCATTTTCAAACTAACTTTTGCCAGATTTTCCTCTATAAACCCAATCTGGTCCCAAGCAGCATACACAGGAGTGGTGGGCAAAAAAGGCAAGATGTTGGTCACAGCAATGTGATTAAAGCCTCATCCCTTTATATGTTTGTTTGTTTCCTGATTTAACCTCCTGCAATAGTTAGAGTCTCAGCAGGTTACAGTCTTAAACACAAACCACTGCAAAGCGTTTTTATAACCATCAATCATAATTGGAAATAAAATAATAATACAGTCAATCAAAAGGCAATAAACTCAGAAGGTGCCATCTCTGATTCAAATACTGTTTAAATCTCTGTTTTTAAGCATCTCTGGAAGCCTAGGAAGGTCGGAGTTTATTGGATTTTGGAGAGGGAGGCGGGGAAATTTGTAGCCTTGGCCCTGTCAGAGAATGACAGTGTTTTCTTCTGCAGAGGATACAAAATCGGGAGACCAAAATTGGAGGATAAGTAGCAATGGCAAAATTGTCAGTTTATATATCCATAAGAGACACTAACTCAATTTAAGCATGAATAGCTCCCATAGATGCCACACACAGCCAGACAAATTGAGATATTTGGAGCATGATTTCTAGGAAGACAGTCATGAGACCAATAAAAAATAATAACATGATTTAAACAGATATTCACTGCAACCCACAGCACTCAATGCCCATTGTAAAGTACAAATATTTAGGTCAGTGGTTAGTAAACAAATGGGAGGGAAGGTAAGACAGCATCACTAAAAAAGAAATCAGAAAAATTTGCTGAGCTTCATCTTGCAGAAAAGAGATGTGTAGGGAAACTGTTACAGGTAGTCCTCTCCTTATAGTCATCCATTTAGTGACCATTTGGAGTCACAACAGCATTGAAAAAAGTGGCTTATTACCATTTTTCACACTTACAACCGTTGCAGTATCCCCATGGTCACGTGATCAGATTTTGGACGCTTGGCAACTGGCATGTACTTATGACGGTTGCAGTGTCCTGTGGTCATGTGATCACCATTTGTGACCTTCTGACAAGCAAAGTCAATGGGGAAGACAGAGTCACTTAGCAACCGTGTTACTAACTTAATAACTGCAGTGATTCACTTAACAACTGTGGCAAGTAAGATTGTAAAATGGGGCAAAGCTCACTTAACTATTTCACATAGCAACAGAAATTTTGGGTTCAGCTGTGCTCGTAAGTTAATAATAATAATAACAACAACAACATAATAATGATGATGATGATGTTGGAAGGGACCTTAGAGATCATCTAGTCCAACCCACTGCTCAGGCAGGAGACCCTATACCATTTCAGACAAATGGCTATCCAGTCTCTGCTTAAAAATTTCCAGTGTTGGAGCATTCACCGCTTCTGGAGGCAGGTTGTTCCACAAGTTGAGCCAAGTGTCCAAATTTTGATCACATAACCACAGGGATGCTACAATGGCTGTAAGTGTAAAAAACGGCCATAAGTCACTTTTTTTCTGTGCCGTTATAACTTCAAATGGTCAATAAATGAATGGTTGTAAGTTGAGGACTACCTGTAGTCAGTCCACATTGCAATAGCATCATCTGTTTAGCCAGGATTGGAGAATGTATAATTGGGTATCATCGTTTATTTAATTGCATAATTCAGTTTGTTATACCGGCTGATTCCCTACGACACTGGGAGACTTTTTATCAATTTCATAAACTTCTTTCATCTGCTAAGTTGAAGAAATGTAGTATGTCGTTTGTGTGCTGTGACCTGTGTTGTAATTCTGCCCTCTTCCTGATCTAAGCTTTATTTTTAAGAATGCTGTTAACCTGAACAATATTACTCTTTTTTTGGCTTGTGCACCTTCATTTGCTGGTTTTTTTTGTTTCAGGTTTTCCCCCGGCAGTCTCTCTCAAAGAAGCAGCCGACACTGCTGGTGATCTGTGGTTGTGAACAGAATGGGGCAATTGGCCTGGTATGTGCCCGACATCTGCGTGTATTTGTAAGTATTCAGTTAACTCTGAATGCCGTGGGGATGAACCACCTTTAGATCGTGGAACAGATTTATTTATATCTTGCTTTTATAAATAGCTCAAGGTGGTGAACATACCTAATACTGTCCTCCTTTCTCCATTTAATTTCCTGACAACATCCCTGCAAGGTGGGTCTGAGAGAGAGTGACTGGCCCAAGGCCATCCTGTTGGCTTTCATGCCTAAGATGGAACTAGAACTCACAGTTTCCTGATGATTGGCCCAAAGTCACCCAACTGTCTTTCATGGCCAAGGCAGAACTGGAACTCACAGTCTCCTGGTGATTGGCCCAAAGTCACCCAGCCAGTTTTCTTGCCTGAGGTGGTACTAGAACTCACAGACTCCTGGTTTCTAGCCTGATTCCTTCACCACTAGACCAGTGAATGAATGGATGATGTCAAAGAGCATGGGTCTTGCCGTGCACAAGCTATTTGTATTCCTGCAAAGAGTTCCCGTGGTTGAGTCTCTGCCCCACTAACTTGAGCTTTTTAAATGCAGATTCTTCCAATCAAGACTCCCTCCAAAATCATTTATCTCCAGTGATCTGCCCTAAAGCCGACAATGCCACCGATAAAGCTTGCCCAAGGCTTTCTGACTGCTATAGCAAACTTTGTAACTTGCTCAATGAAAAACATTTCTCACCCATTAGCAGGATTGCTATTACCTTGATGTCCATATACTGTATTCAGGACCAAACATGATACATTTATTTTAATTGTACATATTTTCCCTTAAAAACTACATTTATAGTTGCTATTAAGCCAAGAATTGTATCACATAATTCAATGATTTGGCAATTGGATAGATCATGATGTTCCCATGCATTTAGTAACTCCAGAAGTGCAAAATTAGATTTGTTTGCTTAAGAATAAGGATTAAACGAATGTTCCTGCCATCCTGTACAATATTTAAAAATATATCTGAAATGGACAGATTACAAAATTTGGATTACAGAATTTCTGAAGACCACCACCAACATTCTAGCTTTAAATGTCTTTACAGAATCTTATTTTCTGAGGCAAAGAAGTCTTCTTCTCTGTATTAAGGGCCCAGATATATTTCATAATCTAACACATAGATTTCTGATCGTTGGATTAAAACCAAGATGAGATGTTCAGGGTCTTATGTAACCAATAAAAGTCCTGGAAATGATCTTCTGACTTCTCCTATGCCACCAATTTCAAATTTTTAATGTGACAGAAAGAAAACAAATAAATACACAGGGAAATGGATGTAAAACAATATCAATTAAATCAAATTTTATTTTTGTTGTGGTCCCCTCACTTTTAGCTACTCTTCCTCCAAATATTAATTAAACCTTTCCCTGCTTAAATTCATGAGATTAGCACAGAGCATTTAGATCAGTGTTTCTCAACCTGAGTGACTTTAAGACAAATGGACTTCAACTCCCAGAATTCTCTAGCCAACATGGCTGGCTGAGGAATTCTGAAAGTTGAAGTCCACTAGTATTAAACTTGCTAAGGTTGAGAAATCCTTGTTTAGATACTGCCACCTAGCAGGCTAGCATTCTTTATATACAGTTCTATCATCAGAGTATTGATAAACTCATCTATCAAAACAAGGCTTTGTTGATAGGTAAGCAGTTAATATATAGAATAGAATAACAGAGTTGGAAGGACCTTGGGGGTCTTCTAGTCCAACCCCCTGCTCAGGCAGGAAATCCCATACTAGGCATATCAAACTCACGCCCCACAGGCCACATCCAGCCCGTCAGGCCACATCCAACCTGGCACCAATACGTCACTATACGGCCCGTATTGTGATCGGGCTTGACACCTCTGCCCTATACCATTTCAGACAAATAGCTGTCCAGTCTCTTCTTAAAAACTTCCAGCGTTGGAGCATTCACAGCTTCTGGAGGCAGATTGTTCCACTGATTAATTGTTCTAACTGTCAGGAAATTTCTCCTGAGTTCTAGCTTGCTTTTCTCTTTGATTAGTTTTCATCCATTGCTTCTTGTCCTGCCTTCAGGTGCTTTGAAGAATAGCTTGACTCCCTCTTCTTTGTGGCAGCCCCTGAGATACTGGAGCACTGCTATCATGTCCCCCCTCGTCCTTCTCTTCATTAAACTAGACATACCCAGGGCTTTTTTTGTCAGAGAACACCCAGAACGGAGTTCCGGCACCTTTTTTGGATGGAACCTTGTAGGGTAGGCAACGTGGGTTGTATGACATGTGTGAGTTCTGGCACCTTTTTTTTTTTTTTTTTTTTTTACAAAAAAAGCACTGGACATACCCAATTCCAGCAACCATTCCTTTTATGTTTTAGCCTCCAGTCCCCTAATCATCTTTGTTGCTCTTCTCTCTTTCTAGAGTCTCAACATCTTTTTTACATTGTGATGACCAAAACTGGATGCAGTATTCCAAGTGTGGCCTTACCAAGGCGTTATAAAGTAATATTAACACTTCATGTGATCTTGATCCTATCCTTCTATTAATACAGTCTAGCACTGTGTTGGCTTTTTTGGCAGCTGCAGCACACTGCTGGCTCATATTTAAGTGATTGTCCACTAAGACTCCAAGATCCCCCTCACAGTTACTACTATTGAGTGAGATACCACCTATACTGTACCTGTGCATTTGGTTTTTCTTGCCTAAATGTAGAACCTTACTTTTTTCACCATTGAATTTCATTTTGTTGGATAGTGCCCAATGTTCAAGTCTGTCAGGATCCTCCTGTATCTTAAGCCTGTCTTCTGGAGTGTTGACTATTCCTATCAGCTTGGTGTCATCTGCAAATTTGATGAGTTCCCCATCTATCCCCTCGTCCAAATCGTTGATGAAGATGTTGAAGAGCACTGGACCCAGAATAGAGCCCTGGGGCACCCCACTACACACTTCCCTCCATATAGATGCAGTTCCATTGAGGATCAGACTCTGAGTACGACTGGTCAGCCAGCTACGAATCCATCTGGTGGTGATTCTATCTAACCCACATTTTTCTATCTTATCAAGCAGTAGGTAGTGATCTACTTTGTCAAATGCCTTACTGAAGTCCAAGTAAATTATATTCACAGCATTCCTCTGGTCCATTAATTTTGTCACCTGGTAAAAGAATGCAATAAGATTTGTCTGGCATGATCTGTTTTTAACAAACCCATATTGGCTTTTGGTTATCACTTTGTTTGTCTCTAGGTGTTCACTGATTCATGCTTGATTATCTTTTCTAGACTCTTCCCAGGTATTGAGGTCAGGCTGATAGGTCTGTAGTTTCCTGGATCCATTCTCCCCCCCCCCCTTTTTTTTTTTTTTTTTTTGAAGATGGGAACTTCATCAGCTCTTTTCCAGTCCTTTGGAAAATATCTCTTTGAGACAAACTAAAGAGAATGAATTTTCCTTTTTGGGAGCGCTAAATGTCTTTGGTATTTGAAATCTGTCAGTCCAGTTTCTCACCATTTCATGTTTGAGTAGACATGGACAAATACATTTGTACAAATTTTGCCAGGCTAGAGTGGATTTATATTTTCTGATTACTTAACTAAAATCGTTTATGTTTTCTCAAGGACAGGATTCTGACTCTTTGTGTTTTATGATTCGGATACCCTTATAGAGGATTGCTGAAAACAATAGCATCCTGAACCTTCCTTTGACGTTTCAACTCCTGGATTGAGCATAATTACCAGGATTTCTTACAAAGCTGCTTGAATTGCTATCCAGTTAATACACCTGACGGTGCATAAAGAAACTCTCATTAGGAATTTCACAGTAGCAGTTTGCAATCTTTATTATTTCCTCACCTATATTCTCTTCCGTCTCCTGCCTCTTGAATTTTAATTTAATTGGAATGATTTCTGGGATTAAACACATTCACATTAGCTTTGATTATAATGAGGGAAGCGATTGCCCGTGATGCTTATCTGCTGTCATCTCTTGTTTTCTGTTCCAGGAATATGAGCCAACCATTTTCTATCCCAAAAAGTCTTCTAATCCTCTCTATAGAGATTTCACCACACAATGTGAAAAGATCGACATTCCTTTCCTTTCCTACTTGCCAACAGAGGTAAGGCGAGACACTTAATCACATTTGTGAAAGGAAGCCAATTACAGTAAAAATCCTTTTATTTCCAGCTTTCACACGTATTAATGGTTCTATTCTACCTTCAGAATTATGTGGGCCAAGACTTACATTTTAGCATCTCAGCAAGCACAGGTAGTCCTTGACTTAAAACAATTCGTTTAAGGACTGTACAGAGTTACAAGAGCAATGAAAAAAGGTGACTGATGACCATTTTTCCCCAGCACCATTGCAGCATTGCCATGGTCATGTGATCAAAATTTGGATGCTTGGCAACTGACTCATATTTATGACATCATCTTTTGAGACCTGACAAGCAGAATCAATGGTGGAGCCAGACTCACTTAACAACTGCAGTGATTAAAAACTGTGGCAAGAAAGGTCATAAAACGGGGTAAAACTCCCTTAACAATTGTCTTGCTTAACAACAAAAATTTGGGGCTCAGTTGTGGTCGTAAGTCAAGGACTACCTATAAAATGATCTAGATCTCTTTTTCAAAAGATCTGTAGTTAGCTTCTGATTAGAAAGAAGTTAGGATGGATATCTCATCAGCTTTTGTCCTCTGGATGTGTTACAGTTCCTATCATCCTATAGGTGAAAGCTATGCAAGTAAGACATAGTTGAAGAGCACCAGATTGGGGATGTACAGTATGTTTCTCTCTTTCTGGGTATCATAGAAGCTCATTGTCTTAGTTATATGTCCTGAACCATCATTTCCACCGCAATTTGCAGTTTTCATGTGATCTGAATTTGAGGTTGACGCAAAAGTATTTTGGTTATATTTTAGCATTCATGGCACATGTTTGATTTCCCCAAATTATAGTACTCCCCTCAGTGCAATCATATGTATGATCCCATCGTTGCTGTTTCAATGCACACTTCTCCATCACTGAATCTACAATGCGGAGCACATCTGAAATGGCAATGTGGAAGAAATACCCAAAAAGGGATTTCAAAGGAACCTTATGCTTTCACTTCCAGAATTAGTTTTAGAAGTATTAAAGGATAAGCACAGATAATCTAGTTATTATTATTATCCTGGGTTCTCAGTAATTCATCAGATTAAGTCATTCTCAACATTACTTTCTCTACATTTAATAACTATATCATCTTACCCTATTAACAATGATAAATTGGCAGGATTTTGGAGGTCCTTTGGTGTTCCCTCAGAAGGCGAGGGATGGGATACCTGGCCTGGGGTTTAAATTATACATGTTTGGATTATATTGGAATTATTTTCTTAGGGAAGGCAGTTGCAAATGTTTCTGCTGAATTAGAAAAACCCTTTAGTACTTCTGCTGATGCCTTGCATGGCTTGCAATAGGAGGCTGAAGGCATTGACTATGCTAGTCTAGATGGTTGTGTGGTTTTGAATGGTCTTCTGGAGTGTGCAATCTAGTAAATTCCTCCTGTTGGATACAGATGCATGAGGATAATAAGGTTGAAACTGATATTAATAAGCTGTTCAATGCACCTACTCTTTTATGCACAACAGCACAACACATCAGCAGTACAAGTACTCCTTATTTAGCAACGGACTTGCTTAGTGATTGTTCACAGTAAAGACATTATGAAAAATAATTTTGAGACCATTCCTCGCATAACTACCATTGCAGATCTGTAAAGCAAAGGAGAGCTGAAATAATATCATAATCACAGTTGTGTCAAAGGTGTTTTTTAAAACGTGAGATATATTTTACCAATGGTTAGGAAAACGAACTAGTGAGAAATGAATCTGATATGTTATTTTGAATATATATTAGCAAGAAAAATGATATGTATTGACCAATTGATATTGTTTATGATTATTGTTTATCATATTCACTACAGCTATTTACTATTGTATTAATTAGTGTTAACCGAGCATATGTACCCGGACAATAGTCTGTTTGCTAAAGCTTGAAAATGTTATTGGGGGGCAACCCCAATATTGTTCCCAGTCCTGTCCCAACCCCAATCCCGATCCTAACCCTACCCTGAACCTTAATTCCTATCCTGGTCCTATCCCTTTCCTAACCCCATAAAACTCAATAAAAACTTTTATTTTAAAAAAGGTGGTTTTTTTCCAAAAGGCAACTGGACTGTTTTTTCTGTGAGGAAGACATTTCGTTTCTCATCCAAGAAGCTTCATTGGTTCTGGTAGGATGGTGGGGGCAATGGAAGGATTAGTTCTGTAAGGATGGGGGGTTGTGTTGTGTTGGAAAGATCATATTTCTTTGCAGTCATCTGGTCGTTAGCTTTTGAGGCAGTCCAGTTGCCTTTTGAAAAAGCACCTTTGAGACAACGATGACCTGAATGACTGAGAATCTCTTCAGTCATTAAGCACAGTCGTGATTTTTCTTGGTGACTGTTTTGCTTAATGATCCAGTTTCCAGTACCAATTGTGGTTGCTAAATGAGGACTACCTATAATTTATACCTGATTCTTCCTGGGACTTCTTAAGGCTGAAAAATATTTCTTGATAGTAGTTATCTCTGACTTAGATTTTAATTCCATATGTCTGTTTTACATGATGCTCTTCTCGTACCAAAGTCGGTCTCACCTATAGGTTATCACTGGTCCAGATCTGCTGGTGAAAGGGCCATTATAGAAAGTCTTCTTGGTGTTATCATGCCTCTACTTCTTATGAACCTGAATGTTATGGGACCAATAAAAAGAGGGAGAATGTGCTTGAAACAAATGAATATTACACAAGTTGTATGGGATTTTAGCATCAGGAGAGAATTTTCATGACCTATTTTGCTCTGAGTAAGCTTTGTAGTCTATAGCTCTGTAGATAATTTGTTAATTGCTCTGCATTCTTTGAAGAAATGGATGCCTTTTGTGTGAAATATCCAGACTTGAGGATGTAATAGCAGTTGCTTTCTTATCTTTTCTCTTTCGCCTGTTAATTCAGGGTTATTATGTTAGCATGACTGATTCCTTTATTCTGTGCTGGGTTAAGCCAACACATTCAATATTTATGCTACTGAAAAGTGTAAAATTGAAACACATCCATTTTAATGGGTATTTGTGATAAGTGAGCCTATGTCCCTGTATGCATTTCTGAGTATTATGATTTATCATTTAATTTTTATTTTTATTTATGTATTTAGAGAATTTATATGGCCGCCTACTCACTCAGTTTTAATGTTGGGTTCATGCGTTTAAAGCTTTATTAGCATTTCATGCCTTTTAAAAAATACACATGGATATCTATCTATCTTATAAATATTGTATTCATTCTCTTATATATTATTTTGCAATATTATTTTTTCTGATTTTTATTTTGTTTCCAATAATTGGTAAAATCATGTCCATTTAGCACCTGAAATTGTATTGCGCATTGAAAACCATCAAAAGGGTTAAGGAAATCCTTACAATTTCTTTGCATCTCCATGTAAATATGGCACCCCCTTGAACAATGTTGCCAATGGGGTCTGGGGAATCCAGTGTGGGATGGAGCCCATCAGGTGCCTTGTTTGACTGATTACTGTTGCCAGGGGAGAGGTGAGTTATTGTTTTTATGGCTATATATTAGGTTTTTATTTTTTGTAAGCTGCCCAGAGTCACTGAGTGTGAATGGGCGACCATATAAATTTTCTAAATAAATAAACAATTGTATCCGACTTCAACTCAACACTTCTGTTTGATTTCTCAAACAAACCAGAGTCCAACCAGCTTCTTCAAATCTCTTTTTGTCTAATGCTGCTAGTCATGCCTTATTTCATATTAGTAAAGTTGGAAGGGACCTTGGAGGTCATCTAGTCCAACCCCCTGCTTGGGCAGGAAACCCTACACCATTTTGGACAAGTGGCTGTCCAGTCTCTTCTTAAAAACTTCCAGTGTTGGAGCATTTACTGCTTCTGGAGGCAAGCTGTTCCACTGATTAATTGTTCTCACTGTCAGGAAGTTTCTCCTTAGTTCTAGGTTGCTTCTCTCCTTGATTAGTTTCCACCCGTTGCTTCTTGTCCTCCCTTCAGGTGCTTTCGAAAATAGCTTATTTCCCTCTTCTTTATGGCAGCCCCTGAGATATTGGAATACTGCTATCATGTCCCCCCTTGTCCTTCTCTTCGTTAAACTAGACATACCCAATTCTAGCAACCGTTCCTTATATGTTTTAGCCTCCAGTCCCCTAATCATCTTTGTTGCTCTTCTCTGTACTCTTTCTAGAGTCTCAACATCTTTTTTGCATCGTGGTGACCAAAACTGGATGCAGTATTCCAAGTGTGGCCTTACCAAGGCATTGAAGAGTGGTATTAATACTTCACGTGATCTTGATTCTATCCCTCTGTTAATGCAGCCTAGCACTGTGTTGGCCTTTTTGGCAGCTGCAGCACACTGCTGGCTCATATTTAGGTGATTGTCTACTAGGACTCCGAGGTCCCTCTCACAGTTACTACTATTGAGCATGGTGCCACTTATGCTGTACTTGTGCATTTGGTTTTTCTTGCCTAAATGTAGAACCTTGCTTTTTTCACCATTGAATTTCATTTTGTTAGTTAGTGCCCAGTGTTCAAGTCTGTCCAGATCCTTCTGTATCTTAAGCCTGTCTTCTGGAGTGTTGGCTATTCCTGCCAGCTTGGTGTCATCTGCAAATTTGATGAGTTCCCCATCTATCCCTTCATCCAAATCGTTGATGAAGATGTTGAAGAGTACTGGGCCCAGAACAGAGCCCTGGGGCACCCCACTACACACTTCCCTCCATATAGATGCAGTTCCATTGAGGACCACTCGCTGAGTACGGCCGGTCAGCCAGCTACGGATCCATCTGGTGGTGGTTCTGTCTACCCCACATTTTTCTATCTTGTCAAGTAGTAGGTTGTGATCTACTTTATCAAATGCCTTACTGAAGTCCAAGTAAATTATGTCCACAGCATTCCTCTGATCCACTAATTTTGTCACTTGGTCAAAGAATGCAATAAGATTTGTCTGGCATGATCTATTTTTGACAAACCCATGTTGGCTTTTAGTAATGACTTTGTTTGCCTCTAGGTGTTCGTTGATTCGTTGTTTGATTATCTTTTCCAGGATCTTCCCAGGTATTGAGGTCAGGCTGATAGGTCTGTAATTTCCTGGATCCATTTTTTTTCCTTTTTTGAGGATGGGAACTACATCAGCTCTTTTCCAGTCCTCTGGTAGTTCCCCTGTGTTCCAGGATCTTTGAAAAATATAGTTCAGTGGCTCCGATATCACATCTGCCAGTTCCTTGAGAACTCTGGGATGTAATCCATCTGGTCCTGGCGATTTGAACTCATCTAGGCTGGACAGGTGCTCACTAACCATTTTCTTGCCTATCTTAATTGTGTTTCTGTTTTGTTTTTTATGGCACTATTTTTGATAGGTTGGTCTGTTTTTTCCCTTTGTGTAAAGACAGATGCAAAAAATGAGTTAAATAGTTCTGCTTTCTCCCTGTTGCTTGTCACCTTCTTGCCACTTCCACCCACTAATGGACCAATCATTTCCTTCACTTTTTTCTTGTTTTTTACATGTTGAAAGAAGCTTTTTTTGTTATTTTTGACTTTGGTCGCAAGCCTTAGTTCATTTTGAGCCTTGGCTTTCTTCACTTCATCTTTGCAGGCTCGGGCTATTTGCTGATATTCTGACTTAGTTATGTTCCCCTCTTTCCACTTTCTATACTTGTCCTTTTTATCTTTCAATTTGTCAGAGAGTTCTTTATGCAGCCATGCTGGTTTCTTTTGGGAGCTGTTGTTTTTCCTCTTTGTTGGTATTGTGCTAGACTGTGCTTTTATTATCTCATTTTTCAAAATTTCCCAAGCTTCTTGAGTTGTTTTCCCCTTGAGGATTCTCATCCATGGAATCCTTCCCAAGCCCTCTCTAAGTTTATTGAAATTAGCTCTCTTGAAGTCCAAGACTCTAGTTTGACTGTGTTCTATTGGTTGTGCTTCTATAATGTTGAATTCTAATATTGCATGATCACTTCCTCCCAGGGTTCCTATGGCTTCAACACCGTCTATCATTTCATCTCTGTTAGTGAGAATTAGATCCAAAATGGCTAATCCCCTAGTTCCCTTCTCTACTTTTTGGGAGACAAAGTTGTCTGCTAGGTTTGCCAGGAACCTGTTTGATCTTCCACTTGGTGTGGAGTTTGTCTCCCAGTTGATGTCAGGGTAGTTAAAGTCCCCCATTACTATTGTGATGTGCTTCCTACATACCTTAGTTAGCTGACTAGCAAAAAGTTCATCTATTTCCTCTGTTTGGTTGGGTGGTCTGTAGTATACACCTATGGCAATGTCATTTCCCCTCCCTTTTATATTGACCCAAATGCATTCAAGACAGTTTTTATCATAGTTGTGCTCTATTTCTGTGGAGATGTAGTTATTTCTTATATAGAGAGCAACTCCACCTCATCTTTTATTTGGTCTGTTTCTTTTAAATAATTTAAATCCCTCTAGCTGTGTGTTCCATGTGTGGGTTTCATCCCACCATGTTTCCGTAATGGCAACAATATCGTATCTGCCCTCATTAACCTGAATTTCTAGTTCACCCTGTTTGCTGTTCATACTCTGTGCATTGGTGTATAAACATTTGAGTCCTTTGTGGGTGGCCCTGTGTTTCCTTTCTACATAACCTGTGTGGTGCCTGAGTTCCCCTATTGTCTTACCACCTATTTGGTTAGTGCACTTTATGTGGCACTCGCTATTAGAGGCTTCATTTTGCTTGATAGCAAGGTTGATATTCTTGTCCACACACACATCTATGCTACATGCACTGATAGCCCTATAGTTTTTAAATTGCCGGGGACAGGGTTGTTCCGTGTCAATTAACTCCCTGTCCCCGCTGTTTAGTTTAAATTTCCCTCCAGAAAATCTGTGAATTTATAGCCGAGTAACTCAGTCCCTTTTTTTGATGGATGCAAACCATCTCTTTTGTACATCTTTTGATTGGACCAGCTACTGACATCGTGACTAATATATCCAAAGCCTTCCCCTTTACACCACTCCTTTAGCCACATATTGAATTGTGCTATGCGCTGGCCTTTTCCGTTTTGCTCCTTATACACTGGTAAACCTCTGAGAAAGTAAGCCTACAGCCTATTCTGCTAAGTTCCTTCCCCAAGCTCTGGAAATCATTCTGCACAGAGAGTACATCTTTTTGGGATAGATCGTTAGTGCCAAGATGTACAATAGCCTCCACATCCAAGTCCTTGCTACCATTCTTGATTATTTTAGAAATATGCTTCTTGTCCCTACTGGCAGTAGCACCTGGAAGACACCTGACCTGTTTCAAAGCCTCTGTGTCCTTCCCTAAATTTACATCCCTTATAATTGAATCACCTACCAGAAGGTAGCTTCTCTTTTTGGGAGCCTTTCTATTCTTGCATGGCTGATGTGCAATACCTGATTCACACTTCTCCCTGTCAGAATCTAGTTCTTCATCTCGGACCACAATCCCCTGCTTATTTGAGTTATCTTCACAAATACTTTTACCTGTCTCCTTAATGTCCCTATTAAGGTCAGTAAGGGCACTGTAACTGTTGTGCAGGGACACAGCGAAAGCTTTGTGTTTATGGTTCACAGCTCTCACCCTGCCAGATCCCATGGTTGTCCATACTGCCCTTCTCCTGCAGGATCTTTGTGGTAAAGGGGGCTGATAGCATGGGGGCTTACTAGAGTAGAGGGGCTGAACTGGACACCTAATTTCTGCCTGAAGAACACGGATTACAGACCCTAGGTAAATGATCTGTCCTTGTAGGCTAGTGATTTGTTTACAGATAGGACAGTTTCCAAGTTTGAAAAGGGTACTGCGAAAGACAGCTGCAAAGCAAGTGTTGCGCTGAACTAAGCCAGACATCTTAGATACAAGGGATGTCAGACACACTTGCCCTGAATGTACTGCTACTGTTTGTGATTTTTAGTTATATAATTATATAATTCGCGCGCCTTCTTGGTGAGAAACTTCAGGAAAAATGGTTTTGACCATGGATTCAATTTAGAGCATTCAAAAAGCATTATCCTCTGAATGATTACTGGATTCTAATGTTTTCTTAATTCTGGCATGGATGCCTCCATGGAAAGGGAGGCAGAGAGGAAGAAAAATGTTTTTAAGGTTTTGGCTTTGCAACTTTACTTTACCTCATGAAACTGAATTTTTTTTCTGTAATCTTGTGGTATAGAAGCCACCCAGAAGTCAAGTGAAAAACAAGTTTTGTGAGAAATACAAAGATCTTAAATGGTAATGGTAAAAATAATACGGGGCCATGCAGAATATTTGCTCTGTTTTTCCTTTTATGCAAAGAGAATTGCAGGTACAGTGCATCTGCTAAGTATTCCTGCCATCTAATTTATCACACTAATTTCACTGACTGACAAGCTAGTTTGGTTTTATGCATTTCCCTGTTCATTCCTTCATTAGATTCATGTCCAATTTTCCTCCAAGAGTTCAAGGTAGTGTAGTGAGCAAGTTTTTCCTCATGTGAGTTGCTTGATCTAAGAAATAGGCTGCCTGAGCTAAGAAATAATGAAGGGTCTATTCTATAGCTATGTCTCTCAACCTCGGCAACTTTAACATGTGTGGACTTCAACTCCCAGAATTCCCTGGCTGGAGTTGAAGTCCACACCTCTTAGGTTCTGGAACTTGAATTCTGAAACTTGAAGTCCATACATGCTGAAGTTGCCAAAGCTGAAAAACACTGGACCCAGAATGATCCTTAGGTAATCAGGAATTACAGATGGTCTCTTCAAGCATTCAGAGATGCTGTTCCCTGCACTGTGTGGGTGCATTTGATCATGTTACATTTTGTCTTCATATCTTCTTATCAATGCAAAGGAATTCAAATCTCCCTTCCACATGAGATGTTACAATGCAATAGACATACAGTGTTACCACGGCTCAAGCAAGAGATTTTAGGTTTGGCTTGGTGATGACATCCCTGAAATGAAATTTGCTGATTGCTAACAGTGATATCAGAATTTATTTGTAATGTAGCCAATGTAACACAATGTGAAGGTAAGAAACAAACAGAAACCGATGTTAAGCTTCCTGTGCAAAGAGCTAAATATAAAACTGGATGCATTTTTTTTTAAAAAAACCTGCACAATGAATTCAGAGTAAGCTTGTTTCATTTAGGAAATAATAAGGAAGAGTTTGGAAGGGTAATATGGCACTGAATACAATTTTTCCCTTTCCTTCTGGCAGGTTCAGCTAATCAGTGATGCATACAACCTGGTGGTTGATGCCATGCTTGGCGTAGAAGACAGCCTGGGGGAACTGTCCGAGCCCTACTGCACAATCTTGGCCACTCTCAAACAAATTCGGATTCCTCTTGTCAGCCTGGATGTCCCATCAGGTGTGTAGATGGGAGCTCTGATTCCCCCCCCCCCCTGAACTCAGCCATTTGCATTGAGCTGGCCCTCCCATGAGGCAGCGGGAGGCAGCCACTACTTTAGGTATCTGCTTTTGATGGGCAGCCATTTGTTAGACATTAAACAATGGAGGGGATGGGGGTCCCACTTAGGTACCACAATCATTTAAGCCTCTTCAGATTCTTGGAGCTCAATCCAGCTGGTCTTTTGGGAAGTAGGTGGCTTTGTCCCAATTTCCCATCCCTCCCTTTGCTGCCAGATTCATTCATTCATTCATTCATTTTGCTAGGCTTATACAGGTAGTCCTCTACCTACAACCATCCATTTAGCGATCATTTCACTTTACAATGCCATTGACAAAAGTGACTTACAACCAGTCCTCACGTTTATGACTGTTGCAGCCTCTCCATGGTCACATGATCAAAATTCACCAAATGGCATGTATTTACAAAGATTGCAGTGTCCTGGAGCCATGGGATCACCATTTGCAACCTTCCCAGCCTGCTTTTGACAAGCAAGGTCAATGGGGGAAGCCGGTTTGCTTAACAGCTGCAGTGATTCCCTTAACAACCATTGCAAAAAAAATTGTAAAATCAGGCACCACTCACTTAACAATTGCCTTGTTTAGCAACAGAAATTCTGGTCCCCACTGTGGTTGTAAATTGAGGACTATCTGTTTGGTGTTCCTCTCATGTCTAACTCTAAGTAGCATACAGATTTCTAGTCAACAATAATGTTAAAAGCTAACAAGTACGATGTACCAATATAAGTCATTCAACACCAAGGAGCATACCTAACTCATATACCCATTCAATATCACGCTGAAACAAAAATAACCCTTCAGAACCTGAAGTTCAGGTAAAACAACCAGTCTTATTTATTTTATGGAAAGATAACAGTTTAAAGTAGGGGTCTTCAAACTTGGCCCTTTTACGACTTGTGGACTTCAACTCCCAGAATTCCTCAGCCAGCGTGCCTAGCTGAGGAATTCTGGGAGTTGCAGTCCACAAGTCATAAAAGGGCCAAGTTTGAGGACCCCTGCTTTAAAGGCTTATGTATTGGGAGCTGAAGGAAGCCCTTCTTCCAGGTTGGGCACAAACTACTGGAGGAAGGTGGTCCTGCAAGTAATCAGATCCTAAACAATAAAGAGCTTTAAAGGTGACAATTTGAATTGCAGTAAAAAAAATCATCAGGTATCCCTAAATGTTTGGGCCACTGCTTTTGGGCCAGCTGATAGTCTTCAAGAGTAGCCTCATTGTAATTATCCAAAGTGACATGAAGACAAATATCATTTGTCCCAAATGTTTGATAACTGATGGTAGACTACTCCTGTACATGGAATTTCAATTTTGCCATATTCACTAATGTCATTTGATAGATGTGGAAGAATTTAAGAGGATCCCAGCTGAGTTAAATCAAATCTACACTACCTTCAATTCCACAACTGCTCTTTTTAATCAAATATGTTTCAGAAATTACTTTCATAAAATGCAAACATCCCATTCCCTTCAACTTAACTCTCAACCCCAAGCCTTGCTAGGGAATTCTGGGGGTTGAAATCCATACATCTCAAAGTTGCTGAGATTGAGAAATATTGGATTTAGATGGATTAGAACAGTGTTTCCCAAACTTGACAATTTTAAGGCATGTGGACTTCAACTCCCAGAATTCTACAGCCAGCAATGGGAAACACTGGATTAGAACATCCTTGTGTGCTATGATTCTATGCATTCCTTAAAGCTTTGTGAGTGGAATATTTGTTATATAGTCATTAAAAAAACTAAACTAAACTAAATTAGGACAAAATGCTCAGTGCTGGCTAGAGATTCTGAGAAGTAGTCTGAACACTTCTGAATACCGGGTAGGAGGAAAGCTGCTTGAGGGGATAAATTCCACAAACATGAAGCTTCTATTAATGTTGCTCCCCTTCCCAATCACCATCCCCACTTCCCTGTTCTTTCAAAACATGACATCCCCTGGTTCTCCCTCATCTTCATTTTAATCCCTTTCCCACTTCTTCTTACTTCCATCCCTTTGCCAAGTTCCAGCTTGGCTCGTTGGCATCTGCGGTGGCTGTCTGAAGAGGCGGTTCTTTTGAACGGCAGAGCTTGCTGTAAGAAGGAATCAGTTTTCCTAAAATGAGACATGATGTCATCTTCAGACATGTTTTGCTGTGTCTAGAAAGTGCGGTAGCCTGAAACCTGCTTTCACCATCAAGGGAAGGAATTTCTTCTGTGGAAGAACAAACAGGCAGACGAGACATGAATGGGAATAAACTTCTCCTCCCCTAAATGTTCGAATTTCTTTCCACTGACAGTGGTATAATCAGAACTTAATTTAATTGAAGTTAAATTAATGGAACAAGAAATGTGATATCCATCGGCACAAAGCTTTGGTCTGTTTTTAAACAAGCTGGCTGGGGAATTCTGGGAATTGAAATCCACACATCTGGAAATGGCCAAGGTTGAAACACACCTTACTACACCATCCCTGCTATTCTGTTTGAAAATCTCCAGTGAAGGGATAGAAGCCATTCCATGCAATCACCAATTCTACTGTTTGACGGATGTTACTGTCAAGTTCTTCCTAATCTCTCCTCTGTATCTATCTCCTTAATAGCATTCATGGGCAGGAAATTCTTCTTTAGTTTGAGTTTGGATCTGCTTCTTGCCCTCCCTTCAGGAGTAATGACAATAAGCCAGTTTGGTCTAGTAGTTAAGGCATCATACTAGAAACAGGAGAGTGTGAATTCTAGTACTGCCTTAGGCATGAAAGTCAGATGGGTGACTTTGGGCCTATCACCAGGAGACTGTGAAATCTAGTTTTGTCTTAGGCATGAAAGCTGGCTGGGTGACTTTGGGCCAGTCACCAGGAGACTGTGAGTTCTGCTCCTGTCTTAGGCATAAAAGTTGGCTGGGCCAGTTTCTCTCCCTCTCTCTCTCTCTCTCTCTCTCTCTCTCCCTCCCTCCCTCCCTCCCTCCCTCAACCCACCTCACAAGATTGTTGTTGAGGGGGGAAAAATGAAAACCTTGAGGTATGTTTGCTACCTTATGTTATTTATACAAATAATAAAAGTGGAAAAAATAAATATAAATAAATAAAATAAGTCCCCACCCTTTTTCCTGGGACAACCCTTTGAGTATGGGAGGTCTGCCCCCATGTGGGATGTGCAAAGGCCAATAGTACAACAAACTTTAGCTCCTGGAATTTCCTTTAATTAAAGCTGTAAAAATGAATTATTGAAAGAGAAATAGAGAACCCTCCCCTTTGCTGGGACTATCTGGATAATTAGAACTCAGATCAGGGGGTGTTCCTGGTTTTTGCTTTATTTTTGCTCTTTCTTTATAGGTTGGGATGTGGAGATGGGCAGCAGTGACGGCATCAGCCCCGATGTTCTGGTCTCCTTGGCGGCCCCAAAGCAATGTGCCACGAGATTTATGGGCAAGCACCACCTGGTGGCTGGGCGCTTCCTCCCCTACGATGTGCAGAAAAAATTTGAACTGAATTTGCCAGAATACCCTGGCACAGAGTGTGTGGTTTCTCTGTAGAACAGGGGTGTCCAACCTTGGCAACTTTAAGACTTGTGGACTTCAACTCCCAGAATTCCCCAGCCAGCCATGGGGAATTCTGGGAGTTGAGGTCCACAGCTCTTAAAGTTGCCAAGGTTGGACACCCCTGCTGTAGAGCTTGGAATCATCCAGCAGTTTGTGGCTTCTGGATATCTTGGCCCTGCTGAGAACTCCCTGGTTTGCTTCTCTTGAATATCAAAATGAGATCCCCAGTATTAATTAGTTCCATATCTAAGCTTTGGAATGTATAATAGTATTGTTTAATCTATTGTAAAAAATCTGGCAAAACCATTTGGAAGAAACGGAATGCTCAGACAACTGAGCCACCTAATGGCACCCTTCTGGAAAACGTGAATTAAAAGACACATACATAAATTCCTCTTCAAATAACTGTTATGAAACCCAGTAAAATTCAAGCCAATTTTTTTTTTATAATCTGCAAGTAAAGATATGGAAAAAGACTTTTGCTTCCATCTAGTGATCATTTTATTTTTTTGCAAATAAATTTGAGGCTCCCAGAATAGTTCTTACAAACCTTGTGAATAGCGCACAATGTAAAGGACCTAATTTATCTGGAGTTTTTAAAGGCTTTCCAGAAATGTCCCTCGGTTGGGCAATCTCGGGATAATCCGCATCTGTTTACATCTGTAAACTCTCCCCAAAATATGGAAATATTTTTTGTACACAACCTTAATGTGCGTGGTTTGTAATGGAATTTCCCAGAGAAACACTTTGTTAACACAAATGTTCCTGATGTCACATTTGTAAACTTTTCCCAATACGAGCTTTTCAAACATAAATATCACAGATGTGAGCTCTTCTTGTCTTCTTTTTTAGACAAAACAAAACTCCTTTTTGTATAGAACTTACTGAATTTCACAGTTGGAAGTTTAACTGTGGGAAAGCTGATTAAGACCACAACCAACAAAACATCCAGCACCAAGTCAAGTTGAGCAAAGCAAGAAGCCATTAAACTGTGCAAAAAGTAGGAAAAGGAAGCTCTGGATTTAAAATGAAATGAGTATGAGAGAGAAACTGCATTCTCCCACAGAGAGAGGCAACCAACCGCTTATTTTGGTATTCAATAGAGATTCTTGTCTAGATGCAACTTTGTCAAGCTTTGAGTAGCTGCTGCCAAAACTGAGCCAGAGAGTGTAAATTTTCCTCAAGAGCTTACAAGGGTTGTTGTTGGAGCGAATGTAATGTGTGCTTTCTTGAATTGTACAAATAATAAAGTTGGGGTATGGAGTAATAAATAGACCAGTGCAAAATCTGTGTGTAGTTCATGCCGGAAGGAGGAATATAGTAAGACTAATAGATGTAACAGAACACTTATTCTCCTGAGGGATAATGAACAAGGAGCTATTGTAAAAACTGAATTTGGAGAATTTGAATAGTTCACAACAAGCAAGAAGTGAAATAAGGATTCATAGTGTCACCATGTCTCTTTAATTTGGGGTAGTCCTCGAGTTACAATCATTCATTTAGTGATCAAAATTACAACAGCGCTGAAAAAAGTGACTTGCAACCAGTCTTCACAGTTATGACCTTCACAACATCCTCCAAATCATGTGATCAAAATTCAAGCGCTTGGCAACCGGCATGTATTTATGATTGTTGCAGCGTCTTGGGATCACATGATCACAATTGGTGACTTTCCCAGCCTGCTTCTAACAAGCAAAGTCAATGGGGGAAGCCAGATTTGCTTAATGACCATCTGAATCACTTTATAGTTGCAGGGATTTGCTTAACCGTTGTGGCAAAAAAGTTGTAAAATCGAATGTAACTTAACAACTGCCTTGCTTACCAACAGAAATTCCGATTCCAGTTGTGGTTGTAAGTCAAGAACTATCTGTATCTGGACTTGGGGTGGGGGCTATCTGAGGGACAGCTTGTCTCCAGTTGTCTCTGCCTGTCCAGTTGGTTCAGCAGGATGAGCCTAACAGTACGTGGGAATAATCTTGGGAGATGGGGGAAGAGCCACAGACTAGCCAACTTTCATGTAAAAGTTATTTCAGTCCACAGAAAGAGACAGGGGAGTTGTGAGAAGCCTTTCAGAAGGAACCCTCCAGAGATAAGGAGGGAGAGGAGAAATATTTTCAGACTTGCAAGATTCTGTTAATGTGACCTTAGCTAGTTTTCATTGCCCGGCTTCTTCTCTGGATTATCTCTGACAGTGGGTGTAAGTTGGATCCCATCAATTAAATAATGCTATATTTTAGGTAACATATTAATGTTGGTCCTTTCTTTTATCTAAATCTCTGTCTGTCTGTCTGTTCTGTCTATCTTATCTATCCTCTGTTATTCCTTTCTATTTATCTATCATCTGTATCTCTCTAATATTTACCGTCTCTAGTTATCATATCTATCACATATATCATCTATATTTCTTTATTTCTCTATCATCTGTCTGTCTGTCTGTCTATCTATCTATTTATTTATTTCTATTTATTTCTCTATCCTATCATTGTTAAGTCCTGGAAGCGATGGCAAATGAAGAAGACGCATTTCTGGGGAACAGCTCTTTATTGTGCATTTAGTCAAAACTCCAACAACGAGCAAAGGCATGCAGGCCTCCTTTTATACGTCCCAAATCCCTGGACATAATGGCAACATCTCTAGGCACTTTTCGTGCCTTGTGCATGCATTTGCAGTCTCAGGACACAACAATCATCATCTCTGTTTATCATGTATATTTCTTTATTACTCTATCATCTGTCTGTCTGTCTGTCTGTCTATCTATCTATCTATCTATCTATCTATCTATCTATCTATCTATCTATCTATCTATCTATCTATCTATCTATCCTATCTATCTAACCTAATCTAATTTACGTCTATTGCCTCTATTTGATGGGAAGCATTCCAGAAGGGAACTTCCCTTGCAAAATGCAGACAGAATTCATCACAATGGAGCTGTGCTGTCCAGATTGTGTAACACAAACTTTTCATAAAGTGTTCAGTTCCCCCACCCCCCAAAACTATTGGTGAGCAGGTTTGTATAATGACACCTTTTAATTGCCACTTCAAAAGGAATCCAAAGGTCTCTCTTCCCTCCTCCCACCCTGCACACAATTTTAAAGCCACATCTACCAGGACAGCTCTTTAGCACGACCTCGCTTCACATTAGCTCATTTGTGGTTTCATTGCCTTCCAACTCTGTCCAATTTTAGCAGCCCACACTAGAATAGCTTCTGTTGAAGCCTTCCCAAAAACAATAATAATAACACAAAAATCTCCTGATATTCTTCCAAGCGCGGCTCAGGTTGAAATGCTCTGGGTTCTGTGTCTCTCTAATTTCTCCTGACCAGGCAATCTATCCAAGAAGGACTCCCAACCAATGAAGGCTGAAGGCTGAGTCCTATAAAAACCTGCTGTTCTGCTCAGCCTAGGATCTTTCCAGCTCAGCTGAGATCTCAGCCTAGAAGCCCTCCCCAGACCAGCAGAGAGAAGCTTTGTGACCCCCACGCCCCAAAAGAAGACCTTCTGGAGACAAGCTGGAGCAATGACAGGATTCAAATTGGCCCTTGTCTTCTTTTCTTTTGTCTTCATCTGTGTCTTGGCTCAAGGTATTGGTACATCTAGATGTGCGCATGCATTTGTATTTGGAGAGAGAGAGAGAGAGAGAGAGAGAGAGAGGCATTTTTCTGTCCCTCCCCATACCACATGACAGCCTTTTTATCAATTTGCTTAGCTACCTAGAAATTAAAATGGCAACACGGTCCATGAATCTTCAAGAACAGGGAGAAGAACAGCCTTAATTAATTTCATTGTCTTCTGTCTTCACTCTCTTGCTTCTGTTTTTCCCCATAGCAATAACTCTGTGAGATAGGTAGGCTGGGTTTGCAAGAGGGCTGAGGCTAATTTACCATGCAGCTGCAATTAATGGAGAGTTGATAATTGTGTATAATAGCTAGATGATATGTGTGTGTGTGTGAGAGAGAGAGAGAGAGAGAGAATCTTTTCTTATTTTCCAATGAGATCAGAAGTTGAGACCCCTTCCTATCATTTGTGACCAGAACGCACTACCATCAGAGGTAATGAGAGTGAGCTGTTGTGTTAATAAAAGGCAAATATGCCCTTAAGGGAAGCTGTAGCTGACTTGAAATGGTGACTAGCCTTATTAATGGTGGAGAAAGATCCAATAATAAAACGATTAAGATGGCCTTGATAAAGACAAATAATTATTGAGGAGGGTGGGATGAGGGGAGCATTCTACTGAACTTCGAAAAGCTGTCTTGTTGCCCAGTCTATGAACTCAGATTGCTATATACTGGACAGATCTCCTGATCTCTTCTATGCAGATCGCCTCCTATATTATTTTTAGATCTATCATTATTTAGATCTATTTATTATAAACAAAGGGAGAGAACTCTATTCATTTCAGCAGATTATTCCTAAATTGCGTATGTCAGTTCCTGGGTATCAAAAGTCAGATGCATCCTCCATGGTAACAGGTTGTTTAGTTCCAAATTTTAAATACTGTAGTGGGAAAAATCAACCACAGGTATCCTGATCCAGAGGAGACACCAGTTCAGGCAGACCCTTGATCTGATCCAGACCCTTTTAATGTTTTTACATGTAGTTTTCTCATCGTGATTTTAATGCAGGTGATTGCTTAGTAAAGCTAAGCAAAGGGGATCATAGAGACACAGTCAGATGACATCTTAAACTGCTGAGCCCCAATCCATGAAACAGCAGATAACTATGCTGGCATAATTTGCACTGCCTAAACTCTGATCCTTCTTCTGTCTCTAGAATCACAGCTGATGAATAGTGTTGTTTTAATGTGGAAGATGTTAAGGAAACAATTGGTGGATATTTCAGGCTTTCCCTCTCCTGCTGAGTGTCATCTGCTGACAGGAAAAACAACCACCAGTCAATCTCATTAATGTATGGTGGGTCAGGCAAATCCAAGCAGGTATTTAGATGAGCTGGTTTAACCACCAGTCAAGTTGCCTAAGTAATCTGGGTCTAGTGATCTTTTAAAAGAGTACTAAACTCATCTCTAAAAATAGCCCAGGCGTAGAGGTATTTAGCTCTGGTATTGGGAAGGTGAAACAGTTGCTCAGCCCTGGGAAAGCAGAAAGCATGAGAAAGTTTTAAAATGACCATGGACAATATTGTCCTTAGCAAGGTGATGACAGGCTTTGAAGATATCCTACAATAAAATAGCATTTCTGGACTCCCTCCGGTGTTTGTTTCATGACCTGGCCTACCCTGAAGGACTGATGTGGCTGATTACAGCCACGGGAGAAGGATACAAGGTGAAGAAGGGGGGAGCTACAATGAGTGAACTCCATTTTCAGAGCGTAATGTAAGGAAATATATCAAATAGCAGAATCTGGAAGTAGCTTCTGTAGCAGTAGTGCTACTGTAGGAGATGACCAGGCTGAGCCCGAGGGAGGGGTCAAACACGTCATCAGTGTCAAGTCCCTTCACACCCACAAGAGATCTAACTCCAGTCCACTTGAATTCCATTGACTCTTATCTATTGCCAATTTGCTTTGTCTGCTAGTAATTTATATTCTTGTAGAGAGTTTAAGCTTGCAATAAACCTTTATATTCATTTGAACTGCCTGGATTTTCTGATTTCTTGTGCTTGATAGCTACCCTGCCCCAAGAAATAAAACCAGCAAAGAAAGGAAAAAAACTGTGTGAAAATTATAAGTGATCATTGGTTCCAGAATCAGCAATAGGCAAATGGCAGAATCCAATTTTCTTTACCATCTTAATTTGACCAGCAGTGGGTTAATACTCTCTTGGGAGAGTTATTTTTGTTTTTAAAACGCTGTACTAAATTCTGATTTTAGAACTAGTTTGAGGTTCTATCCAAAGGGCACCAAGTCCGAGTAAGTCAGAGTACAGAAGGAGTCTGTGCGTGTCTTGATGGTCTCTTCAAAACATGCTGAAAGGGGGCAGGCCCCTCTGCAGAACCAGATGTTGTGAGCCCAATGGGCGGAAGGGAGGGGTAGGAGGAGCTGAGCTAATTAATTAATCAATGCCCATCTGCCAAAAACAGCCAATAAGGAATGAAAGAAATCCTAAGCTTGAATAGTTAAAATTGCATTCTGTTTCATATTTGTAGAATAAATGATAAAACCATGAAAGATCCCAAAGCACCAGCTTTCTCTTTGAATAAAATCCAGGTAATTTGTGATGTTAGATTCTGCCAAGGTTTGTAAGTGATGCTCTCTAGAGAAAAGCTCCACTTGTTAGTAGATTGGGTGGCACTGTACAGATTGTCTTCTA